CAGGCCAAAACTAGGAGCCTGGACTCCACCCAGCTCTCTTACACAGGGGACAGTGGCCCAAGCGCCTGGGCCATCCTCTGCTGCCTCCCAGGTGCATCAGCAGGATGTTGGAATAGGAAGCAAAGCAGCCTTGAACTGGCATCCTGCTACGGGATGCTGGCGTCACTAGTGACTGCTTAAGCCACTGTGCCACGTCGCTGGCCCCTCTTTGAAGCATTTTGCCTGTCCTCAGATGCAGGAGAATGTGAGAAACATGCAGGAGAATGTGAGAAAACAGAACCACAGGCAGCCCTGTGACCCTCCAGGGCTGGAAGGGACCACAGTCGGGGGTCAGGAGGAACCCCAGAGAGGCAACTGGAGGAGGAGGGTAGGGTGTGCTGCAGAGATGAGGAGAGAGGCTGGACCCAAATGCAGGGAGCGGTGGCCCCGGGGTTCAGCAAGGAAGCCACAAGTGAGGGGCACCTGCTTCTCTCCCCTGTGCCCCACCACAGGGCCCGGAACTCTCCATTCAAACACCTGGGCATAGCACTGCCCACTTTAGGCACTCCTGCTCCAAGCCACAAAGCCTGGGGAAAATGAAGTCTCTGCCATCCATGTGTGAATGAATTGACTGGAACTTGGGGTTCCTTAACAGGCCTGGGTGTGACACTGGGTGGGGGGCAGGGTGGAGGAAGGCTGAAGTCCCCGGCCAGCTCCACCATGAAAGGAGGAGAGACGATTCTCACGGGTGGGCAGAGGTGGGGGCGACTGGTGCCTGTGGGGCAGGTGAGGGTCCTCCCAGGGCAGCATGGAGACCACCCCCTCCCACACCTCCAAAACTGGGACAGACCCGGGGGGAGGGCCCTGGGCTGTTGGCCCACCAGCACTAACTGGACTCCTCAGTCGCTCACTTTTCCCCTCCTCTCACTGCTCATACAGCTCCAGAATCAAAACTTGTTGACCCCCAACCCATCCCTGGGCCCCTGACTGGACAGGGCCCCCCTTGTGGCCCAGGAGGAGTCGGCGCAATCACTGCATCACGCTTCAAAGCCACTGAGCCGGCTCCTGGCGGGGCAGCGGGTTTCTCTTACCTTGCCTGGCCGCCTGCCCGGGGCAGATGGGACGCAGCTGGGGAGGCCCGGCACCGCCTCCTCCTCCTGCCCGCTCTCCCCCTCGCCTGCCTCCGCCCCTCGCCCCTGCTGTGGTTGGACATCGGAACTGGGGAATAAGGGAAGTGGTTCCCCCAAAGCAAGAAAAGCAGAAGCTGGCGGGCTCACCCCCTCCACTTGCTCTGAGCATCCTTCCCCCCACGAGCCAGGTCTGTAAATGCACCTGTGAGGAGTGAGCCGCAGAGGTGCCGGGAAGGGCAGAGTCGGGGCCGTGAGGGTGGAGGGTCCGTCTCCCCGACCCACGGGTGGGGTGAAGGCTGGGGGGGGGTGTGCTGGGGTGGAGGGGAGGGGCGACCTGGGAATTGGCAGTGAGAAGTATGACTGTGGAGGGCCGCCAGCTGACAGCTGCAGGGCCGCTGCTTCCTGCGGGGACCTGCGCCTGTGCGTCTCCTCTTTCCCCCTCACTTTCTCCATCTGTAAAATGGTCACACCGGTGCTCCCTACATGGGATTGCAGAGGGGTGGAGGGAGATGATCCTGGCTCTCCTGCCCCACAGGAGGGCTTGGGAGTGCGGGTTTGCGTTGTGTGCTCTCCTGTTTCTGCAGGCTGGCTCCCTGGGACTGCTTGGTGCTCGGGGAGCTGGAAGCTGGGCTTGGCTGAGAGGCCAAAGTAGGGGCCTGAGTGGACCAGGAGGACAGGGGGTTGTATTGGGGAGCTTGCCTTCCTGGAGGGGCAGGGTGGGAGAGGGTGCCAGGAGGAGTCTCTCCCATCTTGATGCCTGAAATTGCAGTTTGACCCATGGCTGCCACTCCCAGCTCCGAGCAGGACTGCAAGGTGTTCTCCTCTGTCTGCCTGGGCATTACTGTAAGTCCAGGAAGCCTGGGGCAGGAAAGAGGGGAGAGTGGGTGGGAGAAGGGCCTGCCCTATGTGCAGATCCATGGTGGGAAATGGTTCGGGAGGACCCTCCAGGAAAACTGCCGCCCCCTTGGTGTGTGCTGGCTGAGCCCACTTGCCCATCAGCTCCCGAGAGCCCTTGCTCCACATCCCCTCCCACAGCTGTGCCTGTAAGTGCTGGGGATTAGGAGAAAGCAGGCTGGGGAGAGAGAGTGCGTGGCTAAACGGGCCAGGGAGATGTTTGGAAGACCACTCACACAGGGCCAGGACACATGACTGCTAGGGAGTTAGGCTCGGGCAGCTGTGGCTCCGTGGGTTCCTGGGAGAGAGAGAGCTGGGAGTGCCTGGCTCTCGTTAGAGCCAGGAGTCCCTGCTGCCTGCGGGGGTGCACATGTAGGGATGTGGGCGCTGGGGACCGTGACCGTGGCAGTCATGGTGATGATGATGGCTGTGGTAGCCAGAGGACGAGAGTGCGGTGGCTCTGGTAGTGACGTTGATGGTGGTGGTAACTGGTGACAGTGGCCATGTTGGTCCTGGGGCTGGTACAGATGGCTGTGGTCACAGTGATGGCAAAAATATCTTGACTTTTGGGATAGTCAAGCCAAGTGTCCCATTATAAAATAACCCTTCAATGGCTTCTCGGCCTATTGGTTAAGATCAAGTGTAAAACAACCTTGCAAGGGCAGATGTCTGGCCCAGTAGCTAAGCCAGTGGTCAGGATGCCCGCGACCCATACAGAATGTCCTGGGTGCCACACCCGCTCTGGCTCCTGCTCACACACACCCTGGGAGGCAGCAGGTGATGGTTCAAGTGATTGGGTCTCTGCCACCCACACAGGAGACTTAGAACTCCCTGCTCCTTTGTGGGCAACTGGCGAGTGAACTTCATATGGGGACTCTCTCTCAAGTAAAAAAAAAAAAAATTAAAAAAAAAAACACCTTCTCCTCCAATCGCTAACACACGGGAACTCCAGGAGGAGGGCTGTTATTGTTCTCTGCTGAGTTCCCAGTGCCCTGGCCAGTGGCTTATAACAGCTGCTCAGGAAAAAACCAGAGTAGAAGGGGCCTGAGTCTCTCCTTGTGATGCACACTAAGCCACCTCACTTGATTCTCACCACGCCCCTTCAACTTTCCCATTTTATAGATGAGCAAACTGAGGCCAAGAGAGATGACATAACCTGCCTAAGACCACGCAGGAGAACGGCCGTGGGGCAGGGGGGTGCAGGCATCCTCCCTCACCCTGTTCTTTTTGCCACACCCATCACAGCCACTCTCCCCACCAGCACTCAGCATAACATCGTGGTCTTGGGCTCAGGCTTAATCATAGAAGCACTCCTAATAATAGTAACAATTGCTGTTTGTAATTGTTCAAGTAAGGCTTAAATGGTCAAGCCTGTGGAAATTATTAATAACCCAGCCCCAGCCGTGGTGGTGTGGGTCATATTAAATTGTGTTGAGATGGATACCTTGGCAATAATAGCGACTGGGGTCATAAATTAATAACAGGAATATTTAAATTAATGCCACGCCATCGCTACCCCGGGTAGTAAGCAGCCCGATGCTGCTGTTAGCGTAATGTGGCCCCTTCCTGCACTTCACGGATTCAGCGGAGAGCAAGGCAGGTCCATCAGCACTGTGGAGGAGGAGGTGTCCTAGAAGCAAGTGGTGGCTGTCTGGGGGAAGTGAATCCTTGGGGACTTCTGGAGAGGTGCTCGCTGCCTGGCCTCTCTGCCCAGCCCTGGCAGCTGATGCACACCAGTGTTCAAAGCCACAGGGACAGTTACCTGTGCTTTCCAGGGCTGCCCCTGGCCTTGGGCGGCTACACAGGAAAGAAATTCACAGGACATAAATGAAAGAATTAGCTGCAGCAGAAGCAGGCAATGGCCTGCCATGCTCCGCTCATCCCGGCCTTCCCCTTGGTCTTCTGACGTGCGAGGGTTGCACTGAGTTCCAGGCACACCCAAAGATCTGGAAGCCAGCATGGGTTTCAGAGACTTTCCCTTCCCCCTTGCCCGGCACCTGTGCCTCAGGGCCTGCATGGCTGGGAACCAGGAAAGATAGGGACTGGCAGGAGGTGAGCACTGTCGTGGGGAGGGGGTGTCACTCTCCCTGGATTGGACCTACCAGGGTTTGCAGGGCGTGGTGAGTGTGGTCCTGGGAACACTGTACATGGATGGGTATGTCGATGTGAGTCCACTCAAGCACTTTTCCCTTTCTTCTCTTCTACGCAACTCTGCTGAGCACCTCCTGGGTACCACCCAGATAGCAGGGAGCTTGCCAGCTCGCAGAAGCCCTCACAGGCTAGAGAGGTCAGTTGCCAGGGATGCATCTGTGTGCTTGTGCGTGGGTGTGTGCGTGTGTCCGTGACCAGGTCACATGTCCATGTGCACTGTGTGTAGGCATATGTGTGTCTGAATGTCACACCTGTGCAGGAGCGCATGTATCCCTGTGTTTTGTGTGCACACCTGTGAGTCCTACAAACCCATGATCTGAGAATTCAAATGATGTGGGCATGGACTCCGCCTTGAATGTCCCTGCTACATCTCGTCATGGTCAGGTTACCTGCACTTCTCTCCCCCGAGGTCTTCGCCCAGAGATTCCCCCACACGGAAGGGGAGCGGACGGAGTGGGGAACGGACCTGGAGATGAAGAGCAGGGAGGCCGCGGGCACTGTGGCTGATAAGGACTGGGTAAGAAGCAGGACACTGGGCAGAAGCTGAAGCCAGAGGAGGAGACAGATGGGAAAGAGAGTGAACCCTGCGGCGGGCCGCAGCCGGGGAGGAGCCGGAGCCGCGGCGCGGACGCCCTGGCCCCTGGGCCCACAGCATCCGGGACCGCCGCGCAGCCCCTGGGTACCGGGGCGGGGCGGGTGAGAGGCTCCGCGGACCAGGGCGCGCGGGAGCGGCTCCCCGCAGCCTCCACCCCCCCAACCCCGAGGCGGCGGGGCGGGCGGGCGCGGTTCCGGGGGTGGGCGGGCTGGGCGGGGAGGAGGCGGGGCCGCCGCACTGGCTTCACCCAGCCCCTTAGCCCGCAGCCAGAGCGAGCGGAGCGTCGGCTAGCTCCAGCGGGCGCGGGAGCACAGCGCAAAGCAGTCCTATCCGTCCGCAGAGCGGACCGAGCTGGAAGCCGAGCGCTGCCGCGGAAGGCGGGCAACGGAGGCAGGTGCTGCTGGCCGCGCCATGGACGGGCCGCGCCTGCTGCTGCTGCCGCTGCTGCTACTGGGGGTGAGTGTCAGCCGGAGCGAAGCCCGCTCCCTTCCCCGGGATCCGAACCCCGTGGGGATCCGGGCGCCACCTCCAACGAGAAAACTGGACAGAGCGCTGGGGTCCCAGATGCTGGGGTGGGTGGAGGGAGGGCAGCTCCGGTGCCGGATCCGCGGGGGAGCGTCGAGGGTTCTCCCGGCGCAGAGGCGACCCTGGGTCCCCAGGTAGAGGTGTGGGCAAGACTGGTGCACAGATTCTGGTCCTCGGGAGGGGTCTCAGGAAGGGGTCATGGGGCTCTCGCACCCCTGGATTCTTCGGGAGAGGGCACTTAGGTGCGGGAATCCCGAGGGGACCCGCCCCCGCCGGCATCTTGGTCTCTCAAGTGTTGCGGGACAGAACCAGAGCGAGACCAGGAAGGGGAACGAGACCGGGACTGGAGATAAGGGGCGAGCGGGGCTGGGCGGGGACCGATGGCGAGGGCATGGAACAATGGGGAGGAGGCTGGACGGACTGGAGGCAGAGGGGACTGGGCACGGACAATGAGGACCGGCCAGACAATGGGGGGGAGGGGCGTCGTTAGGACGGGTCGGGGAGCGGGAGAGCCCGTTGGAGAGGGACTTGAGGTGGGCAGCGGCGAGGGAGGTGGAGAGATGGGAACGAAAGCAAAGTGGACGGAGCCGGGGATGCCGACGCGAAAGCAGTCAGGGCAGTGGGGCGAGAAGGGAGCGAAGGACTTGTCCCAGGTCTGCCCGGCTCTCTCCCTCGCAGCTTTGCCCGTCCGGGAATTGGGACCGAAGATGCGGCGCTAGGAAGGGAGCGTCCACTTCGCCGGGACGAGCCCGCCCCCCAGGTTCCCCCGCGGCCGCCGGGATCCTCTCCCAGTTCCAAGTGGTGCGGAGAAAGGGCAGGGCGCAGCGGGCGTCCGGCGATCGCGCCTGGCCGCAGCCGAGCCGGGTGCGGAGCGCGCCGGGATGCCCTAGGCGGGGACCGTCCCGGCAGCGCGCAGCTCCGGGCCGTGCGGACAGGAGGCAGCCCGCAGGGGGCGCTGCGGGGCGAGGGCTTGCGGTAGCCAGCGGTGTGCCTGACCGGAGCAGCACACCTCCCCTCAACCCCGCCATAAAGTTACGGGACCCCGGCACCCCATCGGCTTTCGGCAGAAGCTTCTGGACTGCAGACGAGAGGGGCGCAGTCGGGACATAGCGAATCCGGCGTGCCGGATGGCAAGGCTCCACCAAGGTCGGCGAGCTGGTGCTCCTGTGGGTGTTCTGGGTAGTTCCGGCACGACTTTCAGGGGCAGGGCCCCCGCAGGTGGCCGCGAACTGAACGCCCCGAAAGGTTTCTCAGTGGAGGGGGCGCGTTCCCTCTCCCTGGCGACTCCATCTTTCACCTGAGCCTTGTGCCCTCCAACCCCCCACTTTACGGATAAGGAGACTGAGGCTCTGAGAGTTGAAACGACTAGACCAAGGTCCCACACTCCTGGCGCCCCCTCTCCTCCCCCGGGCTGGGCTGCCTCTCACCTGCTGCCGAGCCCCGCGCCGCCGGGGCCTCCTAAGGAGGTCGCCGGGCGTCCCAGCTCCGAATGACAGCGGAGCTTCAGGGTCCGGTGGGGTTGACGCCACCCTCTCAGAGGCCAGCCGGCCAGCGGCGGAACAGAAGGGTGAGGCGGGCAGAACCCCTCTGGCGCGCTGGCGAATCCCCGAAGCTCGGCCCTATCCCTGGGGCTGTCAGTACCTGTGGCTCAGGCCGGGGCTGGGGATGCGCGGAGGCACGCGTGCTGACCGACGCCGCGGGCGAGGGCTGCCTCTTGGCCGGGGTGGGGTGGGAGGCGGCCAGGGTGGGGGTTGGGGAGGCCTGCGTCCTGTCTCAGAAGGTGCGAGGGCGTGGGCGCCACATCTGGCGAAAGCAGCTGTCCCGGAGCAGAGAAGAGGCGAGGAAGGAGGGGAGCCGAGCGTGGGGCCGGCGGGCTCGGGACGGTGCAACCTGCGCGGAATCAGCGCTGCAGCCCCTGCGGCTCCGCGCACCGCCGCGGTCCGACTTTCTTCCCGAGAGCGCGCGTCCCGGCGGGTAGGCCGGGGAGTCGCGCCCGTAATGGAGGCACTTTGTCATTCAGACGTCTGTAACCGGAGCCGCGGGGCTGGCTAATGCGCCTAATAGGGACGCAGCCTGGGCAGCAAAGGAGCGGGCGTGAGGGGCCGGGGCTGCATGGGAGGGAAGGGACCCCACCCCACCGCACCAGCCCAGGCTGGCTGGAGCGCCTAGCTTCTCCCCTCAGAGGGCGGGACGGAGAGTCGGGAACCCTAAACTGTGTTGAGTACCTACTATGTGCGTCGCGCGCCCCCGGTATGCTCCTGGCTTACTCCTTGTAAGGTCGCAGGAAGTCAGTGTGGCCGAACCTCCCGGGCGTGCAGGCGCGAGACCCGGCTCTCCAGGTTAGCAAGTGGCCGCGCCCCTGTTGGAACCCGGGGTTCTGGATTCAGAGCTGACTTCCCTGCGTGTGCGGCGCGCCCCTCCTCCCGCTTCTAGCTCTCGCGAGGAGGCGTGGCCTGAACGCCCCAAGCCGGCGAGGATGGTTCCGGCGCCCTAAACCTTTGGGACAACGCATTTAGCACATGGCATCTTCTCTCCTGCCGGACACCCCTGCCCCGCCCTGCTCTGGGCAATTAGCTGCAGTGCCCCGCTCCCAACCCAACCTGTATTCAAAGGGGTGGGGGGCATGTGCCAGTAGCCCTTCCCCAGTATTTGCATTTGTAAATCTCTCCGACTAAGGAGCCCTTTGCTGAAGCGGCTTTGAGCGGTCAGCACCCACCACAGTGAATGCTCATAGCTTCACACACTGCCCACTCTTTGGGGGTATGTTCCATTCTGTCCAATTTTTTTTTTCAAAAATTTAAGATCCCTAAAAATTAAAAAATTTAAAAAGCTAAATATTTTTAAAAATTAAAAACCCTAAAATTCACCTAAGCGTATATCCACTCTAGTTCCTTGAAAGCCTTGAAATGGCAAAAGTAAGACGATGGCACACCATCTCAAAGACGGTGACATCATTCTGCCGGATTTGAAATGGGCACGTATGGAATATTCAAACTCAGGCAAACACATGTGTCATTGTGACACAGTGGTCACATTAGCCTGAACTGTAGTCACCCCCTCCCTGCTTGGTTGACCTCAACCCTCCCACTACGGCCTGCCTGGGGTCAGCGGCTCATAGTCCCCAGGACAAGATCCTCCCTTGATCACTGGCATTGCCTGTATCTTCATAAACTGTTGCACATTTAACTCTCACAACAGCCTCGTGCAGTGCATGCTACCAACCCAGAGTTTTTGGTGGGAAAGCTGAGGTTTAGGGAGGTTTAAGTAATTGGCCCAAAGTACTTTCTATCAAATTCATAGCTCCAGGACTTTATGGTACAGGGAAACATGCAACAAGCACAGCACACACACGGTGACTAATCATGTGGCCTACACAGCAGAGGTGAGTCCTGAGAGCAGAGAGAGGGCTGGGGGCTGCAGCAGGGACAGCAGGCTTCTAACAAGGGGCCTGCACAGGCTACCGCCCCACCCACCACCACCAAACACAGACACCCCACCCCCACCCCCAGCTGTCCAGAACCCAGGTCTCCACTGACCTCACTTAACTGGAATACAGCCATGAGTCACGAAGGCATCCAGGAAGACCTTGGAGAACAGAAGAGGGTCCCCAGGTGTCTTAGCCCCTGACTCATCCACGAGGCAGGTACTGTCGTGACCACCTGAAAGGAGGAGACTGAGGCACAGAGGAATTCAGAGCCCGTCCCAGCTCAGCTGCAGGGTGGTGAGCAGAGGGGGCAGCCGAGGAGGAGGGCACTGGAGCGCACACATCCGCCGCCTCTGGGGCCCAGGACACACCTTTCTGGCAACGCTGCCTACTTGATCCCTAGAGATCCCATTAGACCTCCCCAGTGAGTCTGGGTGTGGGGCAGGGGCTGTCCCAGGTTGCACTCTGCCAGCAGTGGTGAGAAGTGACAGCTGACACCGTTACAGGAAGGGAGGAGATTGAGAAACTACAAAAGCCGACAGGAGAACTCGAAAAGACAAAAGCACGGTCATTTGGGATACGGAACACAAAGTTTCATCCCTGGCAGCTCAGAAAAACTGCAGCACACGCCATATCACTGAGGCTCGGGGACACCGCGCAGGTGTGTCCCAGGGACAGACAAGGATGCAGCCGCTACACGGAAAACAAAACAAAACAAAACAAAAATAGTGAGGAGGTTCCCCCAGTTAGTGCTGACTGGAAAACTCAGTTATCCACAGTCACCGGACCGGCACTCCAGTTAGTTGAGGCCACACAGTATGTTCCTGTTCTTAAATTCTGCACCAGGGAGCCGACCGTGCCATGAGGGATCCGAACAGTGCCAGGCTGGACACGAAGGGGTGGGGCACTAGGGGGCAGGCAGGACCTGTAACACCTCATCCCGGAGGGCTGGGAACAACAGGACGGCTTCCTTGCGGAAGTGACATTTCAGCAGAGCCCTGTAGGATGACAATCAATCAGAACAGACCCTTCTGGACTCTTGCCTGCTGGGGGGAAGCCGGCATCTGCGACCCCAGACTCCCGATCTGCAGATGTTCCGAGCACTTGCTGCCTCCGTCATCTGGGAGATGGCAACCACAGGCTGCCTCCTAGGTTGGCCCAACTGTCCATTCCCGCTGCTTCCTCATTTTTCTTCCCCACCAGACCCCGGTGAGAATGCAGGATGTCTTAAAAGACTTGCAAGGCAGGAGTGTCCTGCCGTGATCTGGCCAATGTGGAAGCAGGGGAATGCCCCGAATGACCTTGCAAACTCCCCCGCGGTTCTATGGCCCAAGAGCCCATACTTCTCAACATCAAATGGGATGGTGGGGGCACTGCACGGTCTGGAGCCAGCAAAACAGGCTTTGGAGTTTTATTAGACATAAAGTGTTTTTTTTTTTTTTTTTAAAGGAACAGAAATATAAAGCAAGCCTCCAGCAGCCCCTGCCTCTAGGGAATCAGGCGCTAAATCGTTCCATCCATGAGTAAAGACGCTTCAGTGGCAGGAATCCGACCCCCTTTCCCCTCATTCCGCAAGGGGGAGGGGCTGGTGGCAGGAAATCAAACCCTAGAGTGGCAGGGCTGCTGGGTGGTGAGAGCAGACACTGCCTCACATCGCTAGCAGGCGTCTCTTTCTCCCTATCTTGGCGCCAGGCTCTTGCTGATCGGCTGGTCCTTTGCCTTGGCACCAAGCGGTCTCCATCGCTTTCTGTGTGGAGAGGGAAGGCGGGGCCGGCCAGACTTCCCAGTGCGGAGTCAGGATTAGAACCCCAGCCCCCAGCCCTCCTCCTGGTGCTCTTGGGCCCAGATACATCCTGTTTGATATTTTGTCTTTAGAATGAAGGGCCTGGAGGAGGACTTCTCTGGGTAGACGCAGCTCTGCAGGTGTGAAGCTTAGCGAGTGGAGTTTGGGCTAGATTTCAGCTCTGTTCGCCCCCTCGGCTGGGGGCCTGTGCAGGCTGCAACCTGCGCAGGTGTATCCTGTGGGCTCCAGGGGTGGCTGTAACCCCAACATGAACTTTGCAGAAGGTCAGCATCCCAGGCTCTGACCTGGTCCCGCCTCACAGCCTGCAGGGTGCACTGTCCCCCACTGTCTTACTTCCCCACTGGCTTTGATGTGCCTAATGCCTGCCTGGTGAGCTCATCCTGGCCCAGGTGGTTCCAATAGAAGGCGTTAGGAGGGGGGGCATTTGATCCCTTCCAAGACATCCCCCGTCTTTCTCTCCAGTCTGACCCTCTGATCTTGCCACACCCAGGTGTCCCTCGGAGGTGCCAAGGAAGCATGCCCCACGGGTCTGTACACCCACAGTGGCGAGTGCTGCAAAGCCTGCAACCTGGGCGAGGGCGTGGCCCAGCCCTGCGGAGCCAATCAGACCGTGTGTGAGCCCTGCCTGGACAGTGAGTAGAGGGTGGCTGGCGGGGAGAGGAGGGAGGAGTGGAAGGGAGGTGGAAGGGGGGGGGCTGAAGGGGGGAGCATGCCCATTAGAGGCCTTCTAAGTGCTCTGCCTCAGGGCAGGAACTCCTGCCTCCCCTATAGCATGGTCACCAGAAGTGGGGCTGCTCCAGTATGGGAGGCAGAGAGAAGCCGAGAATGAGAATGTGTGAGGGATGGGTGCAGAGGGAGGAGGGGGACCTGGTGGGGGATCCCCCCAGGGGTTGCTCCTTCCCAGCTCCCAAGCAAAGAAGCATGGGGTAGGAGAGCATGGCCAAGCACAGGAGGAGAAGCTGATGCCAAGCCCAGCTAAAAATAGCCACTGCAAAATCAATGGTTGCCACTGACCTTCCGTGAGCTTGGGGGAGGGGCAAGAGGATCCAATCCGGGCTGCCCTGGAGACTGACCTTGGGGGTTCCTGGGAGGTTGAGGCCACCCCTCCCCCCAGCTCCGGCCAGGGCAGCAGGGATGGAGGTAGGGCACTGTAAAGACATCCTTACCATGGGCTGACATGGGGGGCAGGGGACAGGGGGGACTGTTGCCACTGCTGCCTGAAGAGGGGTGAAGCCTGCCTTCCAGAGCAGGAGGATGAGGGAGGCAGAGGGACAGCGGGTCCGGGCCCCTCGGCTCCAGCCTTGTCCAGAGTTCCATGCGTTTCCAGTCATGAGTCTCAGTCCACGTTGGACGCCCCAGTCTTCAGTTGCTGCCTTAGGCGAGGGGCTTTTTCCTGCCTGCTTGGAGGCCGGTGGGAAGCATAGGCCCACTGGGAATGAGGGTGTAGGCCTGGGGAGTCTAAACCCATCCGCTGGCCTGGTCTCAGGTCCAGACGTGGCCCCCTCAGTCCGCCTGTCCCTTGGGCAACCCCCTCTCCTTGGTGTACCCCAGGCACGCTCTTCCCCTCTCTGTACTGTGGGTGCTTATCTCACCACCCAGCAGACGGAGGAAGCCTGGGCCTGGGGCAGGGGTGGGACGGGGGAGGCTTTGCTCCCTACACTGGCTCTGGCCTCATGGGGTTTGCATCGGTGGCGGGTAGAAGGTCCATCAACCATAAGCATCATAGAAGCTCCACAGCCTGCTGTTCTTACCACCCAAATGTGGCTGGGGAAATTTCCCTCCTGCTCCCTCGCTCGCTCACTCGCTCTCCTCCTCCCCTCTCTGCTGCTCCCCCTCCCCACCTCCAGCTGGGTTAACAAGCCTTTACAAGCCCACTTTATGGCACAGAGACCCCAGTGGTCGTTCCCTCTACCCTCAAAATGTTTCCACAAGGAAACCTATTAAGCTCTTGCCTTCATTCTCTGCCAAAAACGACCGCATTTTTCACACCACCTAAAACTCTCTCCCAGGAGCTTTCTGTCCATTTGCTCTATTTTCCCACGGGCAGGGCTCGCCTCTCTGGCTCCCGTGTGACGAGACCCACTCCTCTGCCACGGGCCAGCCAGCCAGGCCCTTCTGGTTCATACAGATCCAATTCCAGCCTCAGCTGTTTGTTTGGAAGTCCCTTGTGCTGTCTGACCATGTCCCCAACCCGAGTCCTCTGCACTCACCATTGCACTGTTCCAGGCCCAGACTCTGTGGGATCCCTGCCATGTACCAAGTGCTTTTTAGTTTTTAAGATTTATTTTTTTTCATTTATTTATTTATTTGAAAGGCAGAGTGATGGGGGTGCGGGTAGGGGAAAGATCAAGAAATCTTCCATCCACTGGCTCAATCCCCAAATGGCCATAACAGCCAGGGCTGGGCCAGGCTGAAGCCATGAGTCGTGAACTCCATCCAGGTCTCCCACAAGGGTGGCAGGAACCCAAGTGCTTGGGCCGTCATCTGCTGCTTCCTGGGTGTATTAGATCAGAAGGTGCTGGGACTCGATCCCAGGCCCTCTGATATGGATGTGAGTGTCCCAAGCTGTGGTTTAACCCTCTGAACCACAATGTCCACCCCAGTGCCCAGGGTTAATTATGCTAATTACGACGTTGTGGCGTAGTGGGTAAACCCACTGCCTGCTGCTCCAGCGTTCCATGTGGGCACTGGTTCAAGTCCCAGCTGTTCTGCTTCCAATCCAGATCCCTGTTAATGCAGCTGGGAAAGCAGGAGAAGATGGCCCAATTGCTTGGGTTCCTGCACCCACATGAGGGACCCAGAAGATGCTCCCGGCTCCTGGCCCCTGGCTTTGTCCTGGCTCCGCCCCAGTTGTTGGGACTATTTGGAGAGTAAACCAGCAGATGGAAGCTCTCTCTCTCTCTGTCTCCCACCTCTCTCCCTGTAACTCTGCCTTTCAAATAAATAAAAATCTTAAAAAGAAAATTACAGCCAAATTTCTTCTTTTTTAAAGATTTATTTATTTATTTGAAAGTCAGAATTACAAGAGAGAGAAGGAGAGGCAGAGAAAGAGGTTCTCCATCTGCTGGTTTACTCCCTAATGGCCGCAACGGTTGGAGCTGGGCCAACCCGAAGCCAGGAGCCAGGAGCTTCTTCTGGGTCTCCCATGTGGGTGCAGGGGCCCAAGCACCTGGGCCATCTTCTACTGCTTTCTCAGGCCACAGCAGAGAGCTGGATCAGAAGTAGAGCAGCCGGGCCTCAAACTGGTACCCATATGGGATGCCAGCACTGCAGGCATTGGCTTTACCCACTACGCTACAGCGCCGGCCACACAGCCAAATTTCATTCATTCCTCCCCACCAGCCTGCGAATGGAGATATTATTCCCCATTTTCTAGAAATCTCAGAGAGGTCAATAAGGCACTCAGGGTCACACAGCGAATAAGGGATGGAAGTGGGTTTTGAATTCAGAGCTGCTGGCTCCCTGGGAAGAGAAGCCAGGGTCTCTGTCAGAGCTGGCTGGAAGCCGCAATCCCCTCCAGGCCCCCCTGCCTCAGCCTTCCCTTCTCTCGTCTCCTGCCTCCTTCTGCCCCTTTCTCTCTGGTGGCTCCTCTCCTCTGCCTTCCATGCCTGCCCCAGGCTCCACGACAGCAACCCTGTGTCCATCTTGTCTCTTGATGCTTTTAGTTAAGGGAGAGACCTGACCCCATGGCTGCCTCAGTTTCCCTCGGCTGGGCTCCTCCCTCCCACCCCCTCCATGCTCCAGACAGCCCCGCCTTCCCTGGTCCTCAGGTTTCTAAATCCAAGCTCTGACTGCCCTGGGAGCAAGGGTGGGACCGTGTTCCCCACCCTGGGCTGCAGAGGGGAGGAAGGCCTGGCCCCGCCCCCGGCTCCCTCGCACCCCGGCATCTCCACTCTCTCCGCTGATTCCCGAGCTCACCTCCCTTCATTAAGAGCGTGAGTCAAGAGGAAGCTTGCAAATCTCCCCTTTGTGCCACTCGCTGACTGCACGCAAGTCCTGGCTTTCCAGCCTCAGCCCTCCTGCTGTACCTGAACTCTCCTGGCCTGGACTCCGGTCCCCACCCTCCCAGGCCGAGCCCTGGAGCAGGGTGGGGAGGCGCCCTGGGTGGGAGCCTGAGTGACTCCCAGGCGGAGGCTCCCTAGGGGCAGGCTGGCCTGCCCGGGCTGGGTTCACAGCCCTGCTCAGGCCCCCGGAAGGGCTGGGTAGGCTGGGTGGGGACTGGGCTCAGTTCTCTCCCTAATCACCCAGGCAGCAAGAGAATTCTCAAAAAGAACTTGCCAAGAGATTTGCCGGCACCAGCTGGGCTACCCCCGGGAGCCTGGGGGCCTGTGCTTCTTGGGAATTGGACAATGGGGCCCTTAGCTACCTTCCCAGGGCAGCTGGCACCAGGGATCCTGGAGCCGCGGGGGTGGGAGAGATCACAGGTGCACCCTGTACTCGAGTGCTCAAGGTGCAGGCCACTGCCCGGCTGTCCCTGTGCCCGCAGGCGTGACGTTCTCCGACGTGGTGAGTGCCACCGAGCCGTGCAAGCCTTGCACCGAGTGCGTGGGCCTGCAGAGCATGTCGGCGCCCTGCGTGGAGGCGGACGACGCCGTGTGCCGCTGTGCCTACGGCTACTACCAGGACGAGACGACTGGACGCTGCGAGGCGTGCCGCGTGTGTGAGGCGGGCTCGGGCCTGGTGTTCTCGTGCCAGGACAAGCAGAACACGGTGTGTGAGGAGTGCCCCGACGGCACCTACTCTGACGAGGCCAACCACGTGGACCCGTGCCTGCCGTGCACCGTGTGCGAGGACACCGAGCGCCAGCTGCGCGAGTGCTCGCGCTGGGCCGATGCTGAGTGCGAGGGTGAGAGCAGTGGCGGGGTCGGGGGTGGGGGAGACAGGGGTTGGCCCGGGTGCCCTCTAGGCAGCAAGGTGGGGAGGAGTGGAGGGGGCACTGACCAGAAGGCCCTGTCCTAGCCCGGGAACCCCAGGGAGGGCAATGTTCCCAAGCCCATCCCACCGAAGGACCCCTCCTCTCACTGTTGGCGTCCTGGGGCTCTCCATCGGGGAAAAGCCAACTGTATCACCGACTCGGAGTACAGCTACTGCGTCCCAGCTCGCTCCCCGGGACTTCATTCACCCATGGCTGCCAGCTGGAGATTGGACGGGTCGCAGGTGGTGGCCGGAAGATGGCCACAGGGCACAGAGTGGGACATGCAAGACCCTTGTGGTGGGCTTCGTGAGCTGGAAAAGGGCTGGAGGACTCAGGGGCAGGGACTCTTTGGCTCTGAGACCTCATCTAGGTCCCTGGTGGCTCTGCTGCCTGGGATGGGCTCCACCCTGTCGCTGCTGAGTGATGTTAGGGGGGTCACCTCTGTCTCTGGATCTGTCCCCAGGGTGGTTGTGTCATGTGGTTCCCATGGTTCCTGGGGTAGGGAACACACAGTGCGGCTGGCAACAGGAGGGCACGCAGCTTCCAGAGTGGATGAGAGTGCTGTGCTCACCTTAGCCAGGCACAGGGGTCCAGGAGATAGGGTGGCTCCCGGATGAGAGGAACAGACGCGGTGGGAGCTGGGGCATAGCTGTTTTGGTCTCTGCTGGATGATGTCCATCTTGGGCGAGGCAGATGGGCTTCTCGCCTGCAGGGGAGATGACTTTATGTTCTGTCCATCACCCATTGGCCAAGGCCTCCATTGAGCCATTTCTCTGAGCAGGGAGCACAGCGCCCCCTTCAGGACAGAGACCGTCTTGGCTCCAGTCTGATGAGGGAGACTTGGCCCCAGCACTTATCCCAGCCCTGGGAACTTGGGAGACCTCCCACTCCGATGGAGGCAGCACAGCCTCTGCCTTCCATCAGCCCCCTCCTTCCACACATCCCCGGCCCCTGGAGGGCCCCCCAGTTGGAAAGAGGCCCCCACACACCCATCCCTGCCTTCCAAGTCCTGTAATCCTGGCCCTGGGTGCTCAGGTGCCGGGCGGGCTCTGAAGCGGGGCTGAGGCCAGGTGTGTGCTTGAAGCTTGCTGCATTAGAAAAGGGTGGAGGGGGGAAGGAGGGAAGAACGGGGAGGTGCTGGTACCATTGCCTGGGGCCAGGGGGCAGGCAGCGGGCAGAGCCGGGAGGGAGCCTCCAGAGCCAGCCAGCACACAAGGGGCAGTGCAGTTCCATGGGGCAAGACTGGACTAGCCAGAGGGGGCCTTAGTCAGGGGCGTGGTTAGAGGCGAAGAGGGTGGCTGCGGGGGAGGGGGAGGCAGGCTCTGCCTTTGCGGGGGTTTACGGATGCCTCCCAGGTACCACCCCACTTTCCCAGCACCTCCCAAGGAGGAGTGTGCCCCCGGAGGATGTGTTTGCTCCTGCCCCTACTCCCCTTTCAGCTCCAGCCTCCGAAGCTGGGGGGTGGAGGGAGTGGGGGCGAGGGACCACTTCAGGAAATGGAATCTGAGTCTTGGTTTGGTGCACCCCCAGCTTGCCTGCGTATACATTTCAGGTGTCAACAGGGTGACTCACCCACCTCCCCACCCCTCAGTGAGATTCAGGTTTAGGAGGGGTGACCCGGTCCCTCCTCCCAACGCAGGTCTAACAGCTCCTATTCCGGAAATGGCTGTCAGGGTTGGCCAAGGGCTTAGCGGGTTGGAATGTGAGTGGACGCGGCCACATCTGGGTCTCATCCTGGCCCACATCAGAAGGGGGAGGTGAGGTGAGGCTGCGCGCCTGGGCAGCGGCTCAGTCTTCAGTCTGACTTGTCCCCAGAGCCCTTTCTCGTTTTCCTTCGCCAGGGCTCTCTTCTGTAATGGCCGGATTCACCCCACCCACACTCCTTCAGTCTCTGGGCCAGAGCGGGTCTGAGCTGAGCTGTATCTTCAGCCTCCCGGCTCCAGCTGCCCCCAGCTTGCCCAGTCCCCTCTCAGGACCCCCAAAGACCCTCCCTAGTCTGAGGCTGCGGGAGACAGGGCTGTGTCTTCTCCACTTCCCACCTGACCCCCTCCCAGGACTGAGATGGCGGAGGGGAGGATGGGCAACAGATGGCAGCCCCCTCCCCACTGCCATACAGGTGGAGTCCAGATTCACATCTGGGGGCCTTTCCCCTTGGAAGGTGTGAAAACGGGGGCCTTTGAAGCATTTTCACCTTGAGCCCCGAAGACCGGTGGGCAGCTTGGACTCCCACTTGGGTGGGCAAGCTGAGGCCCGGGCGGGGCAGAGCTGGGGAGCCCAGTGCCCTCGCTGTCACCTCGTTGGCATGTCCTGTCTGCTGTCCCTGCCTGCACCAGGCGTGGGAAGCGAAGACGGATGGAATAGGCAACTTTGCCCAGACAAGCACCCCCAGGCTGGCCAGAGCCCACAGCCCCAGCGCTGGCCTCAGAACGGAAAATCCCACCTGCTGGTGCCAGGAGGTGTCAGGCCCTGCCAGGGAGACTGGCAATGCCCAGCTGGCACCAGAGGGTCCAGGTGGGTGGCCAGGCACAGTCTCCCTTCCCCTGAGGCCGTGGGCAGTGCCTGCCTCGTGGGCCCTCTCTCAGCCAGCTGTCTGCTTCCTCCGAGGAGGGCTTAGCTGCCTGCCCCCGTGTTCTCCAGGTGGCAGGATCAGGCATGGCCACTGTCTGAAGACGGGCTGGAGGGAGGCAAGCCAGCTACCCCTGCACTCCCTGCCCATGCCCAGAGCCCAGGACGTCAGAGACGGACAGGGGCTGGGTCAGCTCTCAGGGAGGTGGTGTGGGGGAAGCACCCCCCCTTCCTCCGGACAGGGCCAGGTGTGGCCAACCAGACTTTTCCCCCAGAGTGATTCCAACTCGGGGCTTCTTGGAGGCCCGAGATGTTTACCGCCAGGCCAGGCTTCTGGATTCCCGGGGAAGCAGAATAGAATCTAGGACCGCAGCCGGAGATGGAGGGGCACTTAGAGACCCTGTCTTAATATCCCCGTTGTATATTTGGGGACATGGAGGTCCTGTTGGTGCAGGCCTCCTTGTTCTTCTCCACTGTCCTCATGTCACACACACAGTCCCGCCCCCACCTGAGTGTCCCTGTTGAACCCTGACGCACCCAGGGCCAAGAGGCTCAGGAAGAGGCCCTGGAGGGGGCTGGCCAGTAGGGGAGGGGCGTCCAGGGGCGCAGGCACTCACACCCATGGCCTTTCTTCCAGCCATCCCTGGCCGTTGGACGACACGATCCCCAGCCCCAGAGGGCTCGGACAGCATGGCCCCCAGCACGCAGGTGCCCGAGGGACCTCCAGAACAAGAGCTGCCGGCCAGCACGGCGGCAGACGTGGTGACCACAGTGATGGGCAGCTCCCAGCCCGTGGCGACCCGGGGCACCGCTGACAGCCTCATCCCAGTCTACTGCTCCATTCTGGCGGCTGTGGTTGTGGGCCTTGTGGCCTACATCGCCTTCAAGAGGTGAGAAGAGGGTGCGGTGGGGGCTGGGGAGGGCTGTGCTCTGACCTTGACCTGAAAACCCGTGTGCCCTTTGAACTTCACCCCAAACCAAGCTCATGTCTCTGCTATCTCCAGGGTGTGGCGGGTCAGCAGGAGGTGAGGGAAGGGGAGCACCTGCCCGGTCCTGTCCTGTCCTAGCTCAGCCCTTCCCTGCCCCCATGTGCCCTCCCCTCCCTGACTCCCCCCACACCCACTGCTTGTGTCAACCCCCCCCATTCCCTCCCCTTCCCGTGTCACACTTGGGATCCCTGGACCTCCACATCCAGGAATCCAGAGCATGCAGGAACTCTCTGTTTTAACGTGCACTTTCAAGTTTTAAATGCATCTTTCATTATAATTTTTTTAAATCATCAAAGTAATCCAGGCTTGTTTAGGAAAACGCAAACAAGACGATGTCTTCTAAAGCAAAACGTAAAAGTCCCTTTTATCCCCCTCCCACATCCTACCCCTCTCCTCATTGGAAAAATCTGTTTGGCCTTTCCCAAGTATTTGCTGTGCATTCTTGAAATACACGCATGCGTATAAAAGCTTTCTAGAAGTATACATAAACACGCAGGGGTTCAGCGAAGCACCGCCCGGCTCCCACCCTACAGCTTCACTCCTGCTTCACCTCCCCCTCGGGAGCTTTGCTGAGGGGGTCAGCTGAGCCCTGGGGGCTGCTCATTCAGTGATGTGGGTGCACCGTCAGTCCCCTACTGATGGACATTTGGTTTGTTTTCAGCTCTTTGTTATTGCTTATAATTGCAGCGGAAATCCTTGCTTATATCGCTGCCCACATGTGGGAGTGCTTTAGACGGTAGACTGGGGAGAGTGGCGGTCCTGGGAAGTCATTTATTTCTGCCCTCTTCGTCCCCGTAAACGGTTCGAGAGCGCAGGTGGGGCGCCCCTCTGCTCCCCCAGCGATTTCAGGCCAGATGGGGGCCTTTGATAGTGTGCTGGGGTGCGAGTGAGGCCCCTCCCACGTGCCGTCAGAGCTGAGCTCACACAGCAGCAGGGACCCCGGCCCCCAGCCCCTGTTGTGTTCTGTTCCAGGTGGAACAGCTGTAAGCAGAACAAGCAAGGAGCCGACAGCCGCCCGGTGAACCAGACGCCCCCGCCCGAGGGAGAAAAACTCCATAGTGACAGCGGCATCTCTGTGGACAGCCAGAGCCTGCATGACCAGCAGCCCCACACACAGACGGCCTCGGGCCAGGGTGAGCGGCTGGGGGTGGCGCTGGAGTGACCAGGGTGGGCTTGGAGGAAGAGGCTGGCTCCCCTGGAGGCCAGGGGAGGCTGGGGGGAGGGGCTGGGGAGGACAGGTCCTTTCCTGGGGAATGTGGGCAAGTGGAGGCTTTTACAGACTCATCAAGCTAATTGTCCTCCCTGGGGGCTAATTACTGCCCAGAGTGGCTGCAATTGGCCTCCTGCCCCGGACTTCTGGGGACCAAGCGGTGACGTCTGTGCCCTAATCAACGGCCCACAACCCGGCTGCTGGGACACTTGCTGCAGGTGTCTGGCCCTCGGGGAGCCCGTCTCCTCCTCTGCCTTGATTAATTGCTGGGGGCCCCAGTGGTGGGGACAGTGCCAGTGAGGAAGGGACAGTGAGTCAGCATGCCCCGGCTGTGGGGGAAGGGGCCCGGGGCAGGTGCTGACACCCTCTGGGTTCCCGGCAGCCCTGAAGGGCGACGGGGGCCTCTACAGCAGCCTGCCCCCTGCCAAGCGCGAGGAGGTGGAGAAGCTGCTGAACGGCTCCGCGGGGGACACCTGGCGGCACCTGGCGGGCGAGCTGGGCTACCAGCCGGAACACATAGACTCCTTCACCCACGAGGCCTGCCCCGCCCGCGCCCTGCTGGCCAGCTGGGCCGCCCAGGACAGCGCCACGCTCGACGCCCTCTTGGCCGCACTGCGCCGCATCCAGCGAGCTGACATCGTCGAGAGCCTGTGCAGCGAGTCCACGGCCACGTCCCCGGTGTGAGCCTCTAACCTGGGGAGCCCCTGCCCTGCCCCCACATGCCGATGACAGATGCTCCAGCCAGCCCTCAGGGGCCCGTCCCCCTGGTGGGGGGGGGGCGGCCACCAGAGCTGAGCTCCCCTGGGCAGGGCCTCAGAGGCCGGGCCCCCAGACCACAGCCCTGCTACTTCCCTTGTGTGGCCCCTTGTTTCTGATCCCACTCCCTGTGCAGCGGGAGAAGCATCTCCTCGCTGCTGCCTGCCCCACCCCGTGTCATCCCGGGCCACCTCTCCCCTTCTCCCCACACTGCTGGTGTCATTTCTGAGGGCTGACACCAGGAATGCCTTGGGGGGAGGGTGGTTGGTGACAAGGTCCCGAGACTGAGAAGGAGGTACTGAGGAACAGAGCCATGGACTCTACACTGTGAACCTGGGGCCGAGGGAGCGTGGCTCGAAGGGGCCCAAGCCTCCCTCCGTCCCCGCTCCGCCCCTCCGCCGAAGCTGGAGAGGAGCAGAGGCCTGAGTGGCAAAGGGGTTTGAAAACCCAGTCCACCCAGTCTGCAGGGCCCAGAGAGAGGCTGTGATTTGCCCAAAGCTGCCCACAGTGGAGAGGTCCATCGTGGGCTGGTGCCTTCCTCCTCGTGTGAGGGCTGGGGAGGAGGGCAAGGTGCCCTCTGAGGCGATGCCACCCTCCACCACCATCTCCAGGCCCCTGCAGAGGCCGGATGCTTGCCCAAGTCCTGCTCCATCCATCCGTTATGATGGGGTCAGGTTTGGGGTTTGGGCAAAGGGGCGCTGCTTCGCTCTGCCTGTCCCCTTCTGTTGGACACGTCAGTGTGACACCTGTGGCCCCAGTCTGTGGGTGTCCTCTTGTCCCAGCACTGACCTGGAGCCAACACTGGCCCCTAGAATCAGCCCTAGGGGTCAGGGACTAAGGACCCTTCCACTCAATCTTGCAAAACACACGCACACACACACACACACACACAGGATGAGAAACCTTGCTTTTCTTCATGAGGTCCTTCTCGGGGGCTGCCCAGGACAGCCGCCAGGGAAGCATGGGAGGGAACCGAGCTCTCCGCCGGCCGGCCGCCCTCACCCCCCGGGTTTGGCAGGCCAGGGACTGCTGGGGCTTGAGCCGGAGGCGGCTGTCTGTGCTCCGAGGACCTGCACGTGGAGGAATGCTGCCCCCCCTCTCCCCTCCCCTGCAGGCATGAGTCTGGCTGGGCCCACAAGGCTGAAGAAGCCCAGGCCAGTGTGGGAAGGCAGCAGGAAGGGGCGGAGTTGGACACGTGGCACGGAGCAGGTTCCGGCCATCGCTAGGGCAGCTTCAAAGGACTGCTTTTCCCTTAGCTTGGCCTGAGAGGGACCGGGAGGGCTTGGTGGCAACGCCACCTTCCCCCAGCCTGGTCTGTTTTGCTTGATGTTGGAATGAGTGTGGCTCCCCCTGTATTTAGCATGAAGGAGCTCCGGGCAGGGCGTGCACGCGCCCTGCACAAGGGCCCAGCAGCATTGTATGTAGATGGCATTTCTTTGACCTCAACCTAGGATGAGAGGAGGAGACGCACCTGCTGGCCCCTCCCCTGTGCACCTGGGGAGTGGGACAGAGCGTGAGTCTATTTATTTTCCTCCCCAGCACGTGGGGCGCGGGTTGGTGGGGGCTGCAAGTATGTCTGAGCATGTGTTCTGTTCTGGGGCCCCTCCCGCCTCCCTTTGGGCTGAGACGGAACCCTCTCAGCTCTCCAACTGGGGGCTGCAAGCTCCAGACCCCTGGGCCCCTCCCCAAACCCCCTCCCTTGCATCCTGTGTAATCATTTCTTGGGCCCTCCTGAAACCTACACATAAAACATAAGTGATGAACATTAAATAGCAAAGAAAGACAAATTGTGCCAAGAGATTTTTTTGGAAATCTACACCTGACTTGAGTTGGTTGAGAGTGTGTGTGTGTGTGTGTGTGTGTAACTCACATGCAATTTCCAACTTCGCAAGTTCCTGTCCTATTTTTTTTCCCCTCTGAAACAAGGACATTTTTAACAGAAAACCAGCAAGCCCACGTGTGTGGCCACGGATTGCTGGGGCAGGAAAGAAGCAGGGGTGCTTTGCCCCCAGATCTTGGAGAGGGAAAGTGAAAACGGCAGTGCAGGAAGCTGGCCATCTGTGAACTTGACCGGATGTCAGAAGTGAAACTGACCACAGGGGCGCCAGAGGCTTGCTGGGAGGGCCAGGTCACAACCCCGCAGCTTGCAGCCACCCACATGGCCTGGGACACACACACACACACACACACACACACACACAGAGTCTGGCTAGCCCGGCCTGCAGTCAGGCAGACAGGAGGCCCCTCCCACGAAGTTCTCGTGAGAAGGTCCCAACCCAGGCTCCTGCCAGCCTGAATTTGAGGCCTTGCCTGGCCCAGACCTGGGAGTTCCCAGGCCAGACTGGTGGTCTGAGCTACTTAGCCCTGCTGGTGGCTGGCTCAGGTCCTCTGGTGGGACTGCCCTGTAGCCGGGGGTGGCTGGAAGAGGCTTGTTTTCCCCAGGAAGAGCAACCCCCCAAGCCTGCCCGAGTGCCAGATCCAAGGAGAGGGGCCAGTGGGGCCCCAGCCAAGAGTTAGACGACCGCTGGAAAGGAGACTGCTTGTCCTCTCTCTCCCCCTCCTCCCCCCCAGACTGCGAGGGCTGTGGGAAGACGGGGGAGAGAGCCATGATCCCGGAGCCTGGAAAACACCCTGAGTGGTGGGGAAGCCAGTCTGCATTGCAGCAACCCCGCTTCTGATGGAGGTGACAGGGCCAGGCTTGGGCATCCTTCTAATCTGCCGGGGGAGGCACAACTCCTGGCTAAGGGAGCCCCGACTCTGATGGGAAGTGGGGTCTTTGCCCTAAGACAGCCTCAGGCCAGGCTGGGGAACAGCCTGTGCTGGCCTCAGAGACTATGGGAGATGCACAGGCCTGCTGGCGAGGGCAAAGAGGACCCCACAGGCCCTGTGCGGTGTGCACAGCCAGACAGCGTGGAGGGTGTCCAGGTGCAGACTCCCCCATGCCAGGGGCCAGGGAAGGGACAGTGAAACTGAGCCCCTGGGATGAGTGGAATTAACAGCCTAGGGGGAGGCGCATTTGGCTGAGGAATCCACCTGAGCAGGGGCCCCTTGGCGGGGGTGGGGGGATTTGGGGGTGGTAGGTAGAGGACTGAGCACTGGGCGGGGAGGCAAGGGAGGGAGCTCAGCCGAGTGGGGCAGGGGGAGGGGCTTAGGAGAAGCCTGGCTGGAGGTTGGGGCTACCTTCAGAAGTTTGGGTACTATCGGTACAGTTGCCTGTTGGGCAGCACCAGCTCTGGCTGCAGAACAGAGGGTGGGGGTGGGGCCAGATAGGCTGAGCCATGGAATGGTGAGAAGAGGGAACTCCAAGGTGCTCCCCAGCAGGTGCGACACTCTGCGGGGGTCGGGAAGTGACTCACACAGGCCCAGGGATCCTGGGAGCTGGGACGGAGACTTGAGGACCTTGTCTCAGAGGGTTCCTCTGCACCCCTCCCCCCAGCACACGGAGACCCTCTGCCTGACCTCTCTAACTCCCCCTCAAGAGCCCCAGTCCTTCCACCGGTTTTCTTTTCTTTTCTTTTCTTTTCTTTTCTTTTCTTTTCTTTTCTTTTCTTTTCTTTTCTTTTCTTTTCTTTTCTCTTCTCTTCTCTTCTCTTCTCTTCTCTTCTCTTCTCTTCTCTTCTCTTCTCTTGTCTTCTCTTCTCTTCTCTTCTTTTCTTTTCAAGATTTATTTGAAAAGCAGAGTTATAGAGAGGCAGAGACAGAGAGAGAGGTCTTCCATCCGCTGGTTCACTCCGCAAATGGCCTCAATGGCCGGAGCTGATCCAAAGCCAGGAGCCAGGAGCTTCTTCCGGGTCTCCCACATGAGTGCAGAGGCCCAAGGACTTGGGCCATTTTCCAGTGCTTTCCCAGGCCACAGCAGAGAGCTGGATCAGAAGTGGAGCAGCCAGGACTCTGGCACCCATTTGGGATGGCAGCACTGTAGGTGGAGGCTTTACCTGCTACGCCACAGCTCTGGCCCCCCATTTCCCATTCTTAATGTGGCCTCGGAGAGCTGTGCAAGCGCCTTGCCATCCTCCTCCTCTCTGTGCACCCTCAAACCTGCCTTCTTATAATTCTGTTTTTAAAAAAGATTTGTTTATCTTACTTGAAAGGCAGAATTGCGGAGAGACAGAGAGAGAGATCGATCTTCCACCTGCTGATTCACGCCCCAAACAGCTGCAACAGCTGGAGCTGGCCAGGCCAAAGCAAGGAGTCAGGAGCTTCTTCTGGGTCTCCCCTGTGGGAGCAGAGGCCCAAGCATTTGGGCCATCCTCTGCTGCTTTTCTAGGCCATTAGCAGAGAGCTGGAGCAGAAGTAGAGCAGCTGGGACTTGAACCAGCGCCCATATGGGATGCTGGCGCCGCAGGCCACGCTTTTAACCTGCTGGGCCACAGCGCCGTTCGGGGGAGCACTCCTTCTCAAGTCACCGGGATCTAGTGCTTTTGGGGCAGCCTGGGCCCAAGTCGGGTTTCCCAGTTGCAGCTTCAGCAACATCTGCCCCACTCCTTTGCTTCAGACCACTTAATCTCTCTTTGCAATTAGACTGCCATCTGAGAGATCATTTGATTACTGTGAAACCAGAGACAGGCTCTGGTTTTGCTCACCTTCTAATCCTCAGCACCTTGGCTGGCATGTAGCTGGCACTCAGTAAAAATTAGGCTGAATAAATGCGCGAGGGAGCCCTGAAGCCCCCTGCACCATGGAAGTGCAACACCAGTGCCATTGCAGTTCTGATGGTTTTTGGCAGACATATTATACAAGTAAAAGTAACAGGTGAGCTTACTAATTTTTTTATTTGTGAGGCAGAGTTATGGGGGTGAGGCGTGTGGTAGAGACCATCTTGTATCCACCGGTTCACTCCTCAAATGGCCACAATAGCCAGGGCTGGGCCAGGCTGATGCCAGGAATCTGGGACTCCATCCGGGTCCCCCATAGGGGTGGCAGGGGCCCAAGCACTTGGGTCATTCTCTGTTGCCTTCCTAGGCACATTAGCAGGGAGCTGGATTGAAAGTGCAGCAGCCTGGACTTGAACCAAAACTCATATGGGGTGCTGGGGTTGCAGACAGGAGCTTAACCCACAGCACCATAACGCCAGCCCCGCTTGTTAACATACTTTATTTAACCTGCCCCCTGCAGATCATCCATCTCATGGGCCGGACGCCTGTAGTACCCCCCACTCCCCACTGCCACCCCCATGGCCTCTGCTCTTAGGTCAGACCCCAGCCTCTCTGCCCTCTCTCCCATGTGCCTCCCTCCCTGCTTTTCTGCAGGGCAGTGAAGCTGAGACCGGGCATGGAGCAAAGTGATGGCGTCTTCATTCATTGAGGAGGAGCCTGGTGCCCCTCTTCCCAGCCTGCGACCCCTTGCTCCTTGGAGGAAGGGGCGGGGCCAGCACTGGGGTCAAGAGAAGACACTTCCCATGATGCTCCAGGCTGGGGTCTGCTGACCATATGTGGGGGGGGGGGTGCGGCAGCTCCTCTGATAACGCAAAGCAGATTCCTCCCATCTTGGTGGCAGCTGGTGGGCAGAAGGCCAGGGGACATGGCTGAGCCCCGGGCGTCTGGCTACAAGAGAGCTGAAGGCAGGCAGGCCTCTGTTTCAGCCTTCTGCTCTGCCCTCCTGCACCCCCACGTCCTCCCCCGCCTCCCATCACCCCTGTTTCCCTGCTAAAGCTCCCACTCTCCCTAGGCTCCTCTGAGCTGTCCTCCTGCTCTGGCTGCCCCTGGGCTCTATCGGGGTGGGAGTGGGTGTTCACAGGACACCCCTCTTCCATGGAGTCCCTGGTACTATGCCCCAATGAGAGCCTGACCAGCCCTCACTGTCGCCACAGCCGAGGCGATGACCCCAGATACAGTTAGCAGTCAGTGTTTTCCACCATCATTCCCATGTCCCTTGATGCTCCTATTCCAGCCCCACCGGAACGTTCAGGAACATTCCGGTTCCCGCCCTTCCTCCCTCCCAGGGCACTCCTTGCTGCCCTCTTCCCACAGCATCCCGGCACTCCCCGATCCCTAGGCTCCCTTCCCGGCAATCCCTGCTGTAGTTGTTCCAGCAACATTCCCAAAAGGCTCCTGGGAGAGATGTGCTGGGACTGTTCCCATCTCCCCTCTCACATTCTAGTGACTCATAGAATTTGGGGGTCCTTTTGAGTCATCTAGTGAGAGTGTGGAGCCCCCTGGAGAAGCCCTTGGGCTGGGGCTCAGCATCTGCATCCCAGGGCCTAGGCACCCCTGGGCAGGCCAGGTGGTTCTCGTTCTACTCTCCCTGACCCTGCGGACGCCTGCACAGGTGGCACTGGCCAGTGGCAGAGCAGCCCAGCTCCCACTCCTCGGTGCTGGTTGGGAGTGTGTGCTGTGAGAGAGAGAAAACCCACCGTACGGTGGTGTGAGGGAACTTCGGATTTGTGGGAAGCAAACACTTCAGAGTAGGGTTCACGCCAGGCATGGCTTGACCCGGAGGTCAAAGTATGTTTCCAGGACTGGGTTTCCTCGGTCGTCACCTGCTGCTTCCACGTCTGCAGGTAGGCCCTTAGAGTGGCAAGACGGCTGCACAGCTTCACGTTCAAGACCATGGGAAAGAGCCCGCCCTGGCCCCAGTAATCCCGCAGCAGTCTCCGGGTGTCCTTGGTTCTGACCGGCCCATCCTTGTGGCCAGGGAATGTGACGGCCAACTGGCCGCAGTGTCACCCACAGCATGAGGACTGAGTTGGGGGAAAGCGAGCTCCGGTTACTAAAAGTGCCCCCTCCCCAAAACAGCGAATGTAGCCCCCGTCCCCATCCCACACCTGGGCCCCCTTGTCTTCACCAGG